AAGAGCTATCATGGAGCAGAGGGAGCCCATGTGGCTCGTGTGGCCTCAAGGGCAAGCCCATGGACAGCTGTAAGGACGCAGAGTCTGGATACACACACATACAAAAGCCTTTCCCACTTGCACCATTGCACCAGTCAGCAATGGAAGAGGCTGCCTTGGAAGAACGTGAGCCTGCCAACAGCAAGGAAGTCAAGCAGAGGCTGCACAGGCTTGAGGCTTTGGACTGGATGACCTCTGAGATCCGCTCCCATTTTAGAACTCTAGGATTCCAGGATTTTAGAACCTCTAGAAACTTTATTTCTTCATAACCACCCTCTCATCCCAACTAACTCATCCACTGATTAACCAGTGTAGACAGCCCAAAGTCCTTGTTCCTCCCTTCTCTTCCTAATATTACAGGTATGTACCAAGCTAAGCTATATATGTTCACTTTGGTTTAGAATCCTGGGGTGCTGGAATCTGAGGTCATTAGAACCCTGAAGTGCTAGAAACTGGAGCAAAAGCAAATAGGACAACATGTATACAGTGGTTTGCTAATTGTTCTCTGAACTTTCCTGTATCTTATATTTCACTCTCTCTCTCTCTCTCTCTCTCTCTCTCTCTCTCTCTCTTTCCTAAATTAAAGACTCCCAGAGCATTAGGAATCAGAAGCATCAGGGCTGGAAGGGAAATCATCTTGTCTAGGTCTTTAGTTTGACTGAGGACACTGAGGCCCTGATAAGAATAGAGGGAAGCCCAGGCCACACTCCAGGATCCCACTCCCAGTGTTACCCTAGAACGTGAAAACAAGGAAAGGAGAAAGTAACTTTGGTCAGGACCAGCATGAGGGCAGCTGGGTCACCTGCAGCCTGGCCGGCAATATGAGCACCCTCCTGGGCTGGAGGGACTGTCTCCAGAAATCACTCAAAGAACCACAGTCTTCAAGGGCCTTAAGGTACTGACAGTGCTGGGCAGGGCTGTTGGGGCCTCAAGGCTCCTAGGCCCCAGACCCAGGTGGCCCCGGACAGGCCTACTGATTCCCTCAAAGACTGAAATGCTGTCTGTCCACCCCACTTACACTCCCCACAGCACAGCCAGAAGGGCCTGGCTAGGAAGGGAGTTGGAAGGAAGGATCAGGATCCAATAGAGGGTAAAGTGGTCAAAGATAGAGATTAGAAGTGTGAGGATGTAGGGGGGCTAGAGCCGAATGGGAAACCAAAGTCTAGGTGTCCCCAAGTCTTCTCCACCAAAGGCTTCAGAGCAGTAATTGCCAAGAGCCCTGGAGTCCATGGCTTAGTAGCAGCCAGGCCTGTAGGTAGCTGCTGAGCTGGGTCTATTCTGGGGAGACTTCCATGAGCAATGAGCGGATGGGGCAAAACCCAAAAGGGGCACAGGACCTCTGGTCTCTCATCTTCCAGTCCAAAATGTTAGGGGGATAGCTGAGTATTGGAAAGAGCAAGGGCCAGCAGGGAGGCAAAGATGTGCCTTGGGAACCATCCCCAGCCCAAAACACATCTGCCACCAATGTCCCCCAGTTCCTGAAAGTCCTTCTTTAGGCACAGACATCAAGGGGCTCTGTAAAATGCTACTGCAGCCAGGAGGGACATGTGGATCCAATTCCACAGGCATCAGACAGCTTCTACACCTGGGGTGAGAACATGGCAAAGAAGATGCCAGGACGAAGGAGTTGGAAGGCCTGAAGCCAGTCTGACACTCAGGCCGGCAGGGAGAGGCGCATGACACCGAGGTCCCTTCCCTCACAGAGCAGAAGTAAATAAACAAGCGACTATGTTTTCTAAGGTAAGTAAGGATTGTGGCACATGCTTGAAAGCACTAAACAGAGTAATGCTGGGGAGCGTATTACTCTTTATACAGGGTGGTCAGGAAGAGGTGACATTCAAGGTGAAACCTGAAGAATAAGCAGGAGCTGGCCAGGCGAAGAGCTAGGGGAAGAATATTCCGAGCAAAAGGAACAGTAAATACAAAAGCTGTGTGTTTGAGGTCCTGTCACAATGCTAGGGCTGCCGGAGTGGGAACAAGGGGAGAGGTTTACGGGGAAGTTAGGTAGGTAGGCAGGTCTTACAGGACTTGGAAGGGACTCAGGACTTTACTGCGCGTGTGACAGGAAGCCTTCAAGGCAGGACAGCAAGGGGGCCGAAGCTGAATGATGACTGCTCCGGCTGCTCTATGGAGAATGGGCTGGAGGGGGAGAGGGGCCGCAGGCAGAGCAGTGAGGAGGCCGTGGTCGCCAGGCAAGAGGAGGGGGACAGTGAGGGCAGAGGAGGGGGGACAGAGAGCACGAGGCCCAAAGCCAAGGCTAGGCCACAGAGAGCATGAAGGACAGAAGGCTGGATGGAACAGTGGAGAAAGGGCTGTGAAGGGCTTCAAAAGCCAGATGAGGAGTTCACGTTTTATCCTGCAAGAGTTGGGGAGTTATCAAAGGCATTTTTATTTTATTTTTCTCATCAAAGAGCCCTGAGCAAGGGCATTTGACAGCGTGGTCAGATTTATGTGTTCACAAGATCCCTGTGGCAGCTGGTGTGGAGGACGGACTGCAGGGGCGAGACCGGTGGCAGGAAGACTTACTTAGGAGGTGGCTGCCATAATGGTCCAAATGCGAGGTGGTGAGGCCCAAAGAGGGGCCCTCCACCTTGGCACCCTGGGGCTTGTGCGGCCCCTGCTCATCCAAGGCTTGTCTCCCTCCTGGGGCTCAGGGCAGGTGCAGAGGGCCCGAGTGGGCCCCAGCTCTGATGCTTCAAGCAGAAAATAGGATGAGGACTGCCAAAAGGCATCAGGGCTGTTTATCCAGAGGACAGAAGGCTCAGCATGGATTTATGGCTGAAAGATTACTTGGGGGGAGGAGGGCAGGGGCGGGGAAAGACCAGCTGTCCCCCATCCTCATAAAGTGCAGACAAAGGAGGGAAATGTGGCCTCAGCTGCAGCAAGAGGGAGGGAGGTTAGATACATGAGGGGAAAGGTCTGAACAGGCATCAGAGGATGAAAGGAGCCTTTAGTAATCAAGCAAACCAACTCTCTTACTGAACAGCTGGGGATACTGAGGCACAGAGGAAGAGGCAGGTCCTTGCCTAAGGTCACACAGTGAATTAAAGCTACAACTAGACCCAGCAGCAGCACAACCCCTCCCTTTCAAAGACCCCGGGGGCCTTGCATAAAACTCCTAAGGGTACCTCAGGCTGCCCCAGAAGAATCTGGGATGTGCCATAGAAAAATGCGCATGTGTAGCTCTCCTGGGGATCAAGTGATGGATGGAAAGACCTGTGCTGGTCTGAAGTGGTCTGAACCCCGGCACAGGCTCTGGTCTACATCTCTGATTTGCTGCATCCTTAAGTGCAGCCTTTGTCTTAGGCCCACACTGCCTCCATAGCTCTCCATCTCTGCTCCCAACCCCAATCAGGCTCAGTGTTTTGGCTCTGTATCTCTCAAGGGTCTTGGTCTTTCTGTATCAACCTGTCTCCCTCTGCCCTCCAAGAGTCTGTATTTTTCTGTCTTGGCCTCTGACTCAGTCTCTCTAGAGCTGAGCTGGACTGGACAAAACTCCACCCGCAGTGGGCCCTCACTGGTAGAGTGCCCCCAAGTAGACAATGCTTGGGCCCGTGCCCAGGCCGGAACAGGTGACAGCAGCTGTGGATCTATCTATAGTTCCCTTGCCCTTCAATTGTTCCCAACTTCAAACAATGGTTGGGCCCTGGATTAGAGACACCCCCACCAGTCCCGCTGAAATGGGTCCTAAGGGGCAAGGGATAAGGTTCCCTAGGGCCACATCATGATCTCTCATTAAGTGTCTGCCTCTGTCTGGACCTCCATGTTCCCACCATAGCTCTGAGCTCTGAGGCCCTCAGCGCAGAACTGTGTAGGACCAATGCATAAGCACACAGGTGTGTGTGAATAGCAGACATGCACACGGGCATGTGAGTCTACGTGAGACATGGGTTTCCCTTCTCCCGCTCTAGTTGACACTCATGGGCACTGAGATGCCAGTTCTATGAGGGCAGAGACCTAGGTTTTCTTATTCTCTGCTGTATCCCAGCCTGAGCCTGGCCATGGCCAGTGTTCAATATACATTTTTTACGTTGGACATTAGGAAGAGTGAGGACGTGCTGTGTAGTGATACAACTCAAGCATGAGTGGTGGTAGAGAGTAGTGACAAACATCTTACCCAAAGTCAGACTGCCTGGGATCGAATCCTGGCTCTGCCAATTACCAGCAATGAAATCTTGAAAAATTATGTAACCTCTTAACAATGGAGATTCATAACAAGTACCACATTGGAGTCCAGTGAACACTGTGTAAGTTAAAACATCTGACATGCTTGAGTATTGCCTGGCACAGAGTGGTGACTCAATAAAATACTGTTGTTACTTCCAAGATAAATCATTAAGTGACAAAAGTGAGAAGCAGAAGAATTTATGGGATACACTATCACCCATGAAAAATGGGGAGAGCAGAGTTGTGTATCTGTGTGTTCCCCTGTGGAGGGACCACCTGTGGAAGGCAGTAACGAAAAGCTGGTAAGAGTGGTTGCTTCTGCAGAAGGGAAGAGGTGGCTGGGGGCTAGGGAAGGGAGGGAGACTGATTTTTTTTTCTTTGTATACCCTTTTTAAGCCTTTGAATTTTGAATCATGTGTATATACTACCTATTTCTTAAGACCTGCTAAGTAAGTAAGGGTTGCTTCCAACATGATCCCTGAAAAAGCAAGCCTCTATTCTGTGGCAGTGCGGAGGGCCTGGGTGAAGGCCAGTCCTCAGGCTGTGGGCTCACTGCTCTCAGCCCTGGGTCTGAGTCCCCAGGACACTCTCCTTCCTCCAGCCCCATAGTGGACAAGATGTGTCCATATGAAACTATCCTAGACCAAATGGTAAGCCAGGAGGGAGGGTTCCCAGTTTCCAGGCCAAGCAGCAGAGGTAGAGGGGGCAGTGGAAAAAGGTTCCTGTACTCTTCCCTGGCCCTGGCCCCCCAACTCTTCAGCCCAAGCTATTCTTAGAGCCCAGATAATGCTAGCAGTTGCTGCTGCTCATATCAGCTTCCAGAACCATGGATCCCTGAGAGGCCCAGCACTGCCCCCACCCCCTGGCATGCTGGCCCCCCTGCCAGGTGTAGGTATCCTGCTGATTTCATCCTCTGCACTGCGTGGGTCACACACATCTATCCACCACAGGCAGGTAAGGGGATTGGGTGCTGGGCCCTTGCCAGGCAGCTGGGTAGAACAGGAAGGGTTGAAGAGCCTAGGATGAGGACTATCCCCCTAGGGGTCACCATACAGATAGTCTGGCTCAACCCCAGGCTCCACACTATGCTCAGAATATGAATAAAAGGGATGGGGGCTACAGACAAAGGCTACCCAGGGGAACTGGGGTGAGGGGAGGCCTGGGATGGGAGGGAGGGGGCCTGGGATGGGAAGAGGGAGGAAGCCAAAAATAGGTCTGGGGAAGAGATGACAGAAGAGGGTCTGAGAGCACTGGCCTTAGAGTCAGACTGTCCAGCTGTGTCCCTTACTTGCTACGTGACCTTGAGCAGGTCTCTTTTCCTCTTGGAGCTTCAACTTCCATCATAAAATGGATATGTTATTCCGTTTGGGTTGTTATGCAGAGCCAATAAAATAACGCATATAAAGAACTTAGCCTATGCCTGATACATATAAGCACTATGGAAATGTCTGGTGATATTATCATTAGCTCCATATGAGCAGGCAATGTTTCTTTTTCAGCTCTGTACCCTCAGGGACTAGGTTGGCCTAGGTTGGGCACACGGGCCTTTTCAAATCCTTGCCATGCCATTTATGAGCTGAGTGGCCCTGAGCAATTTATTTAACCTCTCTCAGCCTTGGATTCACTCTCTGCAAAATGGATATACAAACAGTACCTGGCCTTAAAATGTTGATGAGAGAAATAAATGAACCAAAGTGCTTAGTCCGTGGTAAGAGTCCAACAATGTGAACATGTGAACCCTGTGGCTATATGTATGTTGGGGGAAGTATGGTGGAGAAGCCTTGGGTCGGCCATTCTGGGGATGGAATTTGAGGCAGTGCCCAAGGCAGCCCAAGTTCTGGAAACAACATCCTAGTGGGCCTACCATGTGGGAGAAAGTCCCAGTACCTTGTAAGACCACAGATACCCCCATCCCCACAATCTTGTGCCACAGGCTTGTCCCAGCTTGGTCAGCTTCCCATTTAGTTGAGTTCAATAGACACTCTCTGATGCCTGCCAGACGGGGACCACTTCTGTGCTTACTCCTCAGGTCTCGGAGTCTGTCTAATGGAAGAGACAGGCACAGACAGTTACTAACTGATGCAGGGCATCCCAGGGGAGGGACATTCAGCCCAACGTGGTAGAGAGGAGAATGAGCCAAGAATATCTGTCCTTCTCAAAAGACCAATTAGAGGTAGAGTGGGAAGGCAGGGGGTTGTAGCTCTGCCCTTGCCCTTGTGATCATGGTCAGTCAGCTTGGGAGCTGAAGAGCAAAGAGAGGCCCAGAGTTAAGCTCAGAAACCAACCCAGTGAGTCTACCCCAAGTACCCTGAAGTGTCTAGGGTGACCCTGTGCTCTTCCACATCTCGGGGTATACCACTAACCTCCCTGCGAAGGTGGATGTGGCTAACTTAAGGGTAAGAAGCCTCCTCAGGCACAGCCCTCAGGATTTTTTTTTATGGGTTGAAAATGTTGTTATGAATATCTCTATTTATTTTTCAATTGAAATTTTTTAGATAAATGTATACTCACAAGCAGTCATAAGAAATAATGCAGTGATATTCCCTGTATTGACATTGATACAATCCCCCCGAGCTTAGTCAGATTTTCCTAGTTTTATATATACTTGTATGTTTGTATTTAATTCTTACAATTTTATCACTTGTGTAGATTCATGGATCCACCACCACAATCAAGATACTGAAAGGCTCCAACAACAAAACAGTGTTGCCCTATAACCATACCCTCATCCCTCCCATCCTTAACCTTTGGCAACCTCCAATTTGTCCTCCTTTTCTAAAATTGTCGATTCAAAATGTTATATAAAATCTATAGTATGTAATCTTTTGAGATTGGCTTTTTTCATTCCACACAATTCCCTGGAGATTAATCGAAGTTGTTGTTTTATGTTAATAGTTCGTTTCTTTTTGTTGCTCAGTAGTATTCCATATTATGGATGTACTGCAGTCTGTTTAACCCTTCACCTGCTGAAGAATATTTATTTGCACAGCTTTCAGTTTCAGGTGCTATGTTATATCTGTGTTCTGGGAGGCTAAGGCCACCCACACCCCCCAAATTCTTGTCCCATCTGTCTGGGGACAGATGCCAAGAACTCTCCCTATATACTCCACCCTCTTTCCCAGACCAGGCATTAGGATTCAGTCACTCCTGAGCACAGCACTCCTCAGGGAAAAGCAAGAAGAGATTCTCTGTGGAGTACCTGGGCCTCACCAGCTTGAACAGGTAACTGTGCACCCATCAGTTGACCTTGGCCTAGAGGCATTGCCAGCCCCCCAGCTTCATCACCAGCAGCTCCACCCTCTCACATGCTCCACTCCAGATACAGCAGCCTTCTGAGAATTTACTACAGCAAGCTCTTTTCCACCTCAGGGACTCTGCCTCTGCTATTTCCTCTACCTGGAATACTCCTTCCCAATCTAGTGCATGGCTGCCTCCTTTTTGTCCTTCAGGTCTCAGCTCAAATGTCATCTCCTCAAAAAGGTTTCCCTTGAATAGCTAAATTAGGTCCCTTCTATAAATGTTATCTCTTCCCCCTTGATACCACATAGCCCAATTTTTAAAGTCATCACATTTACTGGTAGGTCTGCTTATCCTCTGTGTCCCCGACAAGACTAGGTCTTCCTTGAGACCCGGGAACAGGCAGATCTGACTCTGTAGTCCCAGCAGCCACAGGACTTGGCGCAGAAGAGGTGTCCATGAACCCCCGTGAATGGGCCATGTCCACTGGGGTAGAGGCATCGCCTCTCAAAGACCATCTTCCCCAAGGGCCTCTTACTCCGCCGTCTGCTCCCTCCACACCAGGCACAGTGGATATTGTGTCTCATGTTTCTTACCCACTCAAGCCTGGGTAAAACTCTCCTTTCCTTGCTCTCCTGGGTTTAGCTGAGCAGGCTAACAATAATAATACAGCACAGTGCTTAAGAGTTCTGGAGTCAGACCACTTGGGTGCAAGTCCACAGTTGCTCTGTCTCTGACCCTCTGTTTCTCATCTGTCAAGCAGATATAGTAACAGCACCTACTCCATAGGGAATTAAATGAGATAATACTAATAAAAAAGAAAAGGCACAATGCTTCACACATAACAAGTGTTCAATACATGATCATTACTAGTCTTTTTCTTATTATCATCATCCTTAAACTCAGTAGAATAAACAAGGGAAATAATACCATCAATACAGAGACCAGGAGAAAGTCCCCCAAAAAGGGTCATTCTTAAGACCATGGGATTCCATTCTCATCTTTACACATTTCCCTTCTGGCTTCTCAAGCTTCAGCTCCCCCACCCCTTCTTGGTGAAAATTTGGGGGGCATGGAAGGGCAGGACCATAGCCTCTCCCAGGAGAAAGGTTCCCATCATTGGTTTTGAGGTGACAAATGCCTTCTCCTATATATAGAATTTTCAGTCTTGCCCATCACTTCTTCACTCCAGGTCTTCTTACAAACAGCCAGCACAGTCTAGGCCCAGAGCCTTGCCATCCTCTAGCCACAAGCAGAATACAGGGTCATCTCTTCATCAAAGAGTGCATCCATTCTGCTTCCATGCATCTATCATCAAATCATGCAAATATTTACTGAAAAATTAACATTATTAATCTGGGATATCCCAATGAGATATCATTTTATATCTACTAGACTGGCAAAACCAAAAAAGTCTGACAATTCTGAGTCTTGGTAAGGATTCAGAACATAGGCAGTTCTAATACATTGCTGGTAGAAATGCAAATTTGTAAAGCCACTTGGGAGATAAATTTTGCATTATCTAGGAAATCTGAGTGTGCTCATGACCTCAACACACTGCACAAGGAGGCACATAATAGACTATATACCATTTGTAATAGCAAAATATTAGAGATAATCCAAAGGACCATTCACAGGAGAAAAGGTAAATGAAATGTGGTATTTTAATGCAGTGAAATCTACAGAGTAGCAAAAATGAATGAATTAGCTCTCCTCAACATGGATGACTCTTCAAATAAAGCTGAATGAGAAAAGCAAGCTGCACAAGAATATAAACAATACATTACCATTTAAAATCCAAAAAGCAGGAAATAATAGCATTGCATATTGTTTAGAAACATACACCTGGTAAAGAATTAAAATACATAGGCCCTACTTCACACTATATACAAAAGTTAACTAAAACAAATCAAAGACCTAAATGTAAGAGTGAACACTACAGAAGTCTTAGAAGAAGACGCAAGTGTAAATCTGCATGATTTTGGAATAGGCAATAGTTTCTTAGATATGACAGTCAAAGCACAAGGAACCAAGGAAAAAATTAATGAATTGGACTTCATTAAAACTAAAAACATTTTTCATCAAAGGACATGATCAAGAAACCAAAAAGACAAAACACAGAATGGGAGAAACTATTTGCAAATCATATATCTGATAAAGGTCTGGTATCCAGAATATATCAAGAATTCTCATAACAACAGAAAGACAACCCAATTTTAAATGGGCAAAAGATATGAATAGACATTTCTCCAAAGGAGATACACAAATGACCAAAAAGCACATGAAAATATGCTTGTCATTAGATAAATGCAAATCGAAACCATAATGAGATACCACTTCACACCCACTAGGATGGTCCTAATCAAACAGACAATAAGTGTTGGCGAGGATGTAAAAACTGAAACGCTCTTACTACAGGTGGGACTGTAAAAAAGAAAAGCCACTTTGGAAGAGAGGCTGGCAGTTACTCAATAAGTTAAACATAGAGTTACCATATGACCCATCAAATCCATTTTTCTGTATATATCTGAGAATTGAAAACATACATCCACATAAAAACTTGCACATGAATGTTCATAGCAGCATTATTGTTTATAATAGCAAAAAGTGGAAACAACCCAAATGTCCACCAACAGAGGGATGGATGAACAAAATGTGGTGTATCCACAATGGATTACTTTTCAGACATAAAAAGGAATGAAATACAGATACATGCTACAACAAGAATGAATCTTTAAAACATTATAGTAAGTGAACACAAAAGGCCACATATAGGATTTCACTTACGTTAAATGTCCAGAAAAGGCAAATCCAGAGACAGAAGACAGATAAGCGATCGCCAGGAGCTAGAGACAGGGGAGGAACAGGTGTGACTGCTAAGGCATACGGGGTTTCTTTTGGGGTGATGAAAAAATTCTGGAATTAGATAGTGGCAATGGTTGTACAATCTTATGACCATACTAAAGACCACTGAATTGTACACTTATAATGGTTGAATTTTATGGCACATTAACAATACCTCAATAAAAAATAACACAAAAATAACAAACCCCAAATTCAGGAGGGTCTACTGCTGGGGGAGTATGGTTGTGGAGGGGCACACAGGGGCCTCCAGCTATATTAACAATGTTTTACTTCACAGTTTGGGTGGTGGGTATATGGGTGTTCATTATACTGATCTTTATACCTTTATTAATGTTTTCATAATAAATATAATTTTAAAGTATTTACTGAGTGTCAACCTGGGCCAGGCACTGGGCTACCTGGGTGGTTATATTGTTGAGTAAAATTGGATCCCATCCTGCCTAAAAGTTAAGTAGATAGGAACTAAATGGAAAAGAGGGGCTGTAAGTCATCTCTCCTTTCTGGGCTTCTGCCTCCTCATGGATGCAATGAAAGCTGGACTAGAAGCTTGTTATAGGAAGCCTCTGAGGATCTAGGGGCTGAGGAGCATGTCTCCCCTTCATCGGTGCACAATTTCAAGGACACATCATGGACAATGATGGCACAGGCCCTGAAACTGAGTCTTTTCTTCTGAGTAAAATAGAGACAGTAACTTCTGCCTCCCAGGATTACTGTGGGGGTGTAAATGAGATAACACATATAAAGTGCTCAGGACAGGCCTGGCACACAGTAAATGCTCCACACAGGAGAGTTCTCACTTTGATTCCACAGGCATTTCCTGAGCAGCACTGCTGGGCCAGGCCCATGCAAGGGGCCAGAAAACAGAGGAATTACACTGTGAATGGCCAAGCAGTGGCCCCTAGCCAGGTGGGGAAGTAGCCTCATAAACAACAATACCAGGCAGGGTGATGCCATTGCTAAAAAGAGACGACAGCCACATGCACAGAGGCAGATTATGTGCAGTGCAGACCCTGGGATGACAGTGATGTCCCAGTCAAGAGGCCAATCCAGGCTTGGAGGCCCTCACAGAGGAAAGGAACCATACAAAATTAAGGGACTGGCCTTCTTTCCTGCTGCAGTGCAGCCCTCCTTGTTTCTTTTCACCTAATTCGACTCAAATGTTCAAACCCCAAGAACAGAGACCACAATGGATTCAAAACTCCGGTTAGGGAAGCCTGAGCTCATGGCACATCCCAAGTGTGTGTGTGTGAGCACCGTGGCTAATAGTGTGAAGTGGCATGATCTCTGGCAAGTCAGAACCTCTTCCAGCCTCTGAGTTCCAGCTGTAAAATGAAGATGGTAACAGTACCAACCTCATAGGGCTGCAGTGAAACATGAGATAACAACTGCAAAGCCATCAGCCAAGTACCTGGCACTTAGTGAGCAGATCAATAAAGATTAGTTATTATTAGGAAAGAAAGAGATGCCACTTTGAAAGTGAGGACAGTGGGATTCAAAGAAGTGAGGAGCCTTTCCTGTAGTCACACTGTTAGTTTGTGGAGGCAGAACTGAAACCAGGTCTGAGGCATCAAAGCTCAGTGCATCGTAACCTCCCTCTGTTCCAGAATCTTCAGCAGGCTCTCTGTAATCCACTAGGTGGAATCTATCCTCACCATGGAGTAAGGAATCAGCCAAGGCTTGTGGC